CTATGAATTAGTTTGAAATGAAAGTTCAAAAATCTTTCGAAATTTAAAAACAAAATTGGGTGCCTGAAAATATTTGCACAGAGGTGCACATTTCCCATGAGTGATTCCCACCTCGGCACGTGCATCCGACGTGGGCGTGGAACGCGCTGCTAGGAGCTGGCGGAGAGCTCGAGGCTTGACGGGGACGGTGTTTGTGCCCCACAGACCCGCGGCTCAGCACCGTGTCGCAGGGGCGCTCCATCAACCTGGCCATGTCGCGGCGCGCGCGGGCCGCCCTGGCGCTGGTGGGGCTCGAGGGAGAGCTGCTGCGCCACGGCATCCCCATGCGCGCCAGGATGATCCACGGCCCGGCCGGCGACACCCGGGAGATCCCCTACGACCAGCGCACCGGCCAGGTGAGCGGTAGAGCCCTGGGACCACATAGTGGTCACGCCGCACTAAACGTGATAACTGGATAACGTGTCGAAAGCTAAATCATCCTCACACTCTGTCCGCGCCCAGTGTATCTACTCGGTGGGGCGCAAATTCCTCAACGACGTCCTCCTGTCAGGTACGTAACTCGCTTCCTAAAGACGCAGAATACCTCAAGCCGGGATTTGCGAAATTAAACATCCAAATCCTTACGGTTTATGTAGCCGCTGAGAAGAACCCCCACGTCAGGCTTCACTTTGGACACAAGATGACGGGCGGCGACCTGGACGAAGGGCGAATCGAGTTTGAAAGGTGTGCTCGCTCGTTATTTCTAAAATCTGCTGGTAGTGATCGTCGAGGCAGACAGAGTGGCATATTTCCCTCTCTGTGCAGGGCGGACGGCGGCGCCGGAACGGTGCAGGCCGTCGGGGACCTCGTGGTGGGCTGTGACGGCGCCTACTCGGGCGTGCGCCGACTCTTCATGAAGAAGCCCATGTTCAACTTCAGCCAGACGTACATCGAGCACGGCTACATGGAGCTCAGGATACCTCCAACGGACGACGGCGAGGTAACAACTACTTGCTTTACCTGCCGAACTCGCCGGACGTCCCTTTTTGTAGCTACACAGTTTGGGGTACAACCGACGCGGCCACGCGCAGATTTATCAGAATCGACTGTAGAAATAAGTCCGCTCGACATCGTAAATGCTCACGCACATCCCCCC